CGAAGCTAATATCTCAATTTTCGTTGTTATTTTTACAAATTTGAACATTCTTCCAAAGACAATCTATTCAAATCTCTCTTTTCAAAAAATGATATATCAAACTCAATCACACATAATATAAATTATTTTGTTGAGATTGTTGAAATTTTTGAGGAATTGAAAACACAATAAGTGATACGCGCCTGTTCCGTGTTTCGTCTGACCACGCACGTCTGTAGCTACTTATAGCGCGAAGCTCACGAGTCATATTCTAAAAATGCCGTTTTAGAAAACAATTCTTTTGTTCTATTCTACGTAACTGAAAAATTGACATAAAACCTTCTTCAACTTTCGTCATAAAAATTTTCAAATTTTGTAAAAATAACAGTAAGGGTCCAGGATGCAGAATTAGCTTCAAGGGTCGCTTCAACCTCTAAACGTCCGAGAGAGAGAGAGAGAGAGAGAGAGAGAGAGAGCGCTTACGAAAATAGGCGTCTCCAATTTTTTCATCCTCTCTACAGTTTTCACATCCCAGGTTCATAAAAGTCGATAAAAGATACTTTCAGACCTTCTCTTGTAAGCGAACTTTTTATTCAGAGCGAGTCTAAAACGTTTTCAATTTAAACACACGCATTTCCGAGTTAGCGAGCTTACTCGGAATGCCAGCTCGGATAGCTGGGAGGAAGGAACGAGGCAAGGAGTTTCGAGTCTGCGAAGAGATAGGATGAGAGATGTACCACACACACGGTTCGAGAAAACTCGGCACCGACCGACTTCGGCCTGCACGAACGTGTTGCATGGGCGGTCGGGTCTAATGAACGAATGGGGTCTCCGCGTAAAAGAAGACAGAAATAAATAAAAAAAAGCTCGTCGTCGCTTTTGCGGTCAGTTACTCGCCGCCCACCAAGACTCCCTCTCTCGCCCGGTTTAGTTCACCCGGCAATGCGGTTAAAGTCCAATGGTGAGGCGAGCTCGCTACCCTACACTTGAAACTAGTCACTTTTCCATTAACGTCATCCGCGAGCTCGGAAAGCTCCTATTCATTAACAGGAAACCGTCTGACCCCGATATTCACAATGCTTCACAGTTCCTGTGAATCCCGTGCGAAGATACAGAGGCTATGGAGATCTCTCTTTTTTTTCCTGATCCTTTGCGATGGCAACGTAAGAACTCGAGAAACATTGTGGAATCGTGAGAAATAGACAGAACTGGGAATAAAGTCACGAGATGTAAATTTAACGAAATTCTGTTCAATGGATTATAACGGTCGATAAAGCGACGTGCGAAATGGAAGCCGTAGGTAATGGACTAACTTAATTCGCGTTGCGAAACGCGACGTAACGCTCTGACGTAAAAAGAACGTATGTCACACACCTTGACGATGATGAAAGTTCACGATGCCTATCTTTTCTTTTATATGCGTCGTGAATGGAGTTACCGAGTCGAATGATCGATTATCGGCTGTTGGTTTACTACCCTCGTGAGACTTCCCGCCCCTTTGACACAGTATAGCGCGCCAGAGGCCAGGTGCTCTCTCGCGCGACCGGGAATTCATAATTCAGGGTCAATTTAAAAGGATAAGAGGATGTTAATAAAAATCCACAAGAGCCGACCTGTCGTACCTTCCTCGTGAGTTCCGAGTTTCCTCTCTCTCTTTCTCTCTCTCTCTCTCTCTCTCTCTCTCTCTCGGTCTGTCTGTCTGTCTATCTATCTTTATCTTCGTCTCTCTTTAATAAGTCATAGAGAAGTTACTCGCGAGTGGGAACGACGTTGCAATTCAAACATATTCTTTCGCCGGGAGATATAGACTCGTTAAATTACATCGTGAATTACACCGAGCCGCTGAGAGTTAGCGCGCGTGAATTGTTCCTTTAAAAAAGCAGACGCTGGGAAAAAACGATATTGGCACCTCGACGTTACCGGCGATGCGAAAAGAAGCGGACGTATCTGCATGAAAACAGGTGGAAGTCAAATGTAATCCAATTACGGATAATCGCATTGCCTCGAGATTCGCGCCCGGGCGTTCGGGCAAACTATTGAGTGATTAAAAATAATACCCGACAACGTGCGCGCGGTCGGAAAGTCGGTGTGCTCGCGTGTACCCGAAATGTAATCCTCATACATGAGTCACTGCACTCACTGCGCGTACACCTCGCTCTTTTCCTTTTCCTCTCTCTCTCGCTGTCTGTTCATCGACACGTTATACACACAGCTCTACGATCCGCAACGAATGGTGCATATCTCTCTCGTGTTCACGAGGACCCAACTCGTTGGGTGTATGCGAAACGTAATTAATCAGAGAAAAAGTGCATCTTCCGGAGTTCCGGAAATTACTTACGCGCACTCTGTTTATACGCGGTTTGTTTGTGAGCGTCTTATTGATGTAGCTAACGAAATAACAATTTTACGGTCCGTGTATTCAATAAGGGAAATTAATTATCGGTATTATGCGAACAGATCTGAATGGGTTGAATGGTCATTTCCTCTAGCTGTATGCAGAAGTTGCGAAAATGTTTGGACAATTATATAAGGCATTAAATGGTTTTTGCATGTCACTTTCCGAGCTGTCGCATTGTTTTACGAATTACTATGCAATGATAAGTTTACTTCTGATAAACAGACGCAAAGTTTTGCCAGGAATAGTTTGTGAATTACTCGACCGTAGAAAACTGATGGGAACCGTTAAACTGGTAGATGTTGTATAACCACCAGAAAAGACTATTACCGACATGCTGTTGGTCGAACAGAGCGGAAGTCGACTACAGGGGTGCAGTCGAGGGTAAAAACGACACGATCGATGTACCGTCGGTACGAGAGCTTACTACTATTCGTACGCAGCCAGAGAAAATGCCGTATGCCGAGAAACATGCTGGTAAAGCGATATTACAGATTCCTACTATTAGGTAATAAAATTAAACAGCATTTTATTTTTTATAATACTCGCGACTACAGAATGGGACTGTGAAATGTTTGGGATGCAAAATGTTCAGTTCTAAACTAATCAATCGTGTCGATATAAAACGATCATCAGTAAGAGTCGACACTCGTCGGTAGGTAAGTAGAAACAACCGCTGATATATGCGAATAGCAAGTAGTAACAAGTTTATAAAAAAATGTATATATTTTTCGTTTGTTCTGCAAATACCGAACAAAATAAAAGCCTTTATATATTATATTCTGATATAAAACATCCTTTTTCAATTACCTCGAACAATCACATGATAAAAGCGCACCGATAAAACAGAGAACTAAAGTTAATACCATATGGGTTTATAAGAGCTAAGCACAAGAAAATAGTGCGCAAAATTAGTTAATAATTTCTACTAGTTGCACAAAAAAATTTAATGCACTAAAATGTATTAAAATGTATTAAAATAAATCGGTTCTATTATTTGGAAGTTTATTATGTGAACCTGGAAAGTCAACACTTGCGCCTCACAAATACACGAAATTTTTGCTCAGAATGAAGGTGTGTGATTAATGAAAACCTTTATGATTGTCATTCAATAGCGTGAGGCTGCATTAAAAACTCAAATTGCAACTCATCAAGGCATTCACCAGTGCCTGAATGGTTAGCAATTCAATGTAGCATCTAGGAGATGCAAATACCCAAAATACATTAAAATACAAAATATAACATGTTTGAATAGGTAAATAGTTACGGAGCTAAAGTGTTGTACAGATTTTTCCAGTTTGGTTACGTTCATATTCGCATTATTCGCATAAAAACTGGAACGTAATAATTTCTCACTGAAAGGTACGAGGTTTCTCTTAATTACTAAATGTATCACGTTAATATGTTTGTACCAAGTTAAGATTATTATGGATACTTCAAATTAATTTTATTGCATCAGTTTTAATGTGTGGAATCCTAAAATAATGAAATGAGAACTGTTCCCTACATAATCATGACGAACGGATCGTACTGCTCGAGAATCGGGAGAATTTATATTGATATACATTAGGACGCACACATACATGGGCAAAGTTTTTCTTTTTTCTAAAATGTCATCAAAGCGTTGTGTATTGAAAACTTATATACTTACTGTTAACAATAGCTGCCTGTATATTAATAAATTCTCTTTTTTTTTAATAAAAAATGTGCAAAATCTTTTTTTTTACCAAATGTAATATAATAATGGAATGCAGAATTAAAACGCAATAAAATCTAATGACATGCATGATTGCACATTAAAGATAATGTACGTAAAATTTTTGTAAACTCAAGAAAAAAAGATATCCATATATAAGGTTTGTAGTATTTTGATATAAAAAATTTGCTTTTCGGTGTAAAAATTTTTAAATTGAAAAAAATGCGTTGAAATATAAAGCGTAGGCAAAAGTGCATGTCACGTCAACGAGAGAAATACCGAACCTATCTTTATACGAAGCACTGGAAGAAATAAACTAACCAAACAACGCAACAGAATAATTACAGATAAATCTGCGTATATACGCAAATGAAATACGTGTGTATAAAAAGGGGGGAAATGTATTAGCCACAGGATGACCACATAAACATTGTGCATAACTTCGATAATATCTTTATCATTAACGGTTTATCATTAACGGTTAATTAAAAATATGATTTATGCTGTGGGAAATAATCGCTAATCGCGACAGCGTGGTGTAAAGCAAGCAGAAAGAACAAAATTGCCCGCGATGCTTTCTGCGGCGTGCAGAGATAACTATTGTTAAGAATTACGACCGGTTAGCCGGTCTAATTCTTGGACTATTATTCTGTTCTATCGCCTGGCAGAAATACCGCGACGTTAAATTCGTTAAACGTTTACGTTAATTCCGTTCGTGTTGCAACAATAATTATAGTCGCGTCTCGTTAAGGAAATTGTTCGGGTAAAGGCAAATCTTTCAAGAGAGAAAACTAAAAGAGCTAAACGCTCTTTGAATATTACTTTCTGTTGTACGCGGCCATCCTGATCGACAGTCGGCAAGAAATGAAAAGCACAAAAGATAAAGAAATAAACATACGTATAAAGAAATAAACATAATAATAAACATACGTGCGGTGGTCGCTACTGCTCGGACACTTCGAACATCCCTCCTTGGGACGTTTCTGGGTACGCACCTGTGTCGCTATTCAGACTCTGAATGTGGTTAGGTCCGCCCTGAAAGCAAACATCGTAGAGACACGTTAATATCGGTAGAAAAATCAATACGTTCCTCCGTACTACCGAGGAACGTTTCGCGATCGTTGTTGCGCTTATGCCGGCTTCTACCAAGTTAACTTTGGTTAACTTAACCGGCTGGTGATTCCAACGGAATTGATCAATCGTATCTGTTAATTCTGATTAACGAGAAATGCGACTGATCAATTCTGTTGGAACAATCAACCGGTTAAGTTGATCAAAGTTGGTAGAAACGAGTATTAAGCGCGCGCGTTCTAAACGTACACCGATACGATTGCGCATATCCAACTATATGCTCGATGACAACCGAGTTGACAATTGAGGACGCGATTTCCTTTGAGACGACGATCATAACGACGATAGCAGCACGTTGATACGCACGTGGGAAATCGCTCTCCAACGTAATAACGCGTGGGAAAACGATCTGGAACGCGCAACATTCCTCTGATCTCGCGGCCCGTGATGTGACGTTTTGGTCCAGCTGTCATAACACGCGAAACGCACTCGCGCGACGACGCGCTAGCGGACGAACGGGTTGCCATGGAGACGCTGGTTTATTCACCGGCGCGTCAACGACCGCACCACGCGGACACCGTCGACGCGGTGTCGAGGAGTAGGTAAACAATCCCGACGCTAAATGAGTGCAAATCCGGGCCGATATTAGCCGGGCAGACACAGATGTTCGTGCGATAATCATAAAAATGCAAGAGTGCGGTGCAGCTCCGTCTGATAAATCCAACAGATGGATTCTACTGTTTTGACAAATAGGACGATGTATGGGCCATTTAAATGTCGCTCGGAGGAAATTGGAATTTGTGACACGAGCTCATGATTATATTTTTCTCTCTTCTGTCAGTCATAGCAATATTTAAAAAATAAGGCTCTGATTGTTCCATTTTATTCGTAGAGCTTCTTGCGAAGAGAAGTTATGAAATATGTCACCAATATTATTACTTGCTCTGACTGTCGATAAAACGTCAATCATATGTCTACAGTAGAAATGCAAAACTCTTTCAAAAATTTTTTCTTCAAGTCCACATAAAAGGAATTTTATAATGAAAATTAGTATAGAATTTTATAACTGAGCAACAGATCGACATTCTGTACTATTAAAACACTCGCTGTTTCAAGCCAAATTTCCATGTTCCTTAATAAGACAGATCTTGCAGAGTCTATTCTTGGATTACTAATAACATGGTAAAATTGAAGAGAATTTGTATGAAAAGAAAGCATTTAATATTCTCTCCATGTAATAACACTATTATGAGTAACGTAGGTAGGAAAATATCTGACTTCACATCGTCCACTCTGTATCATCTGTTAGACAAGATAACGAAATCTTGGATAATCTCTTCAATATTTAGGACTTACTTTAATGCAAGTGCATTAATTCTTTAATCTATTAAGCTTAACCTACAATGTGCTCTTTGTTTTCTGTTTCTTGCTCTCTATCTTTTTGTGAGACTTAAGCTTGATCTATAATGTGTTATTTGCTTCCTGTTACTTTTTCTTTATCTCTTTCTGACTCAAGCCTTAAACCTTAAACTAAAAAAAAAGACAGAAAACAAGAAACAGGAAGCAAAGAACACATTGTAGATCAGGCTTTAAGGTTTGAGTTAGGAAGAGAAAGAGAAAGAAACAGAAAGTAAAAAACATATTGTAAATCAAGTTTTAGCCTAAAGATCAGTAGGGACGTTCGCAGGCAGGGGAAGAACATTCTGTCACAGCAAAATGTATCATCAATTCTCATATGAAGAAATCTGTCATGTGAACGAAAACTGTCAGTATGATTACAAACCGGTGGAACTTGGTCTATTCTTTTCAGCTGCATTGCTGAACTGGTACAATAAGTTAAAGTAAATAACTTGTGTCACTCTAATTCATTGCACCAGTTCAGCAGCATGAAGCTGAAAAGAACAAACTAACTGTCTATCAACTTATATTAATACAAATACAAGACAAGTGCAGAGAATGAACGATGATGGAGCAGAAAATGATGTCAAATTGAGCAAAGGGTTTACGAATATCACTGAGAGATTTATAACGGTTCAATACCGATTGTTTACTAGCACTGTCACACTGTCCCTCCTGGGATGCTCTCATCGGTCGTATAAAATCGGAACGACGGTGAAATCGCGCGAGAATCTCTTCGTACCAGCGGCACGAGGCACACGAGCCGACGAGGAAACGTAGGTCGCGTGTATACCGAAACAGAAAGAGCCGAACACCACGGCGCGAAATGCACGGAAAGGTTATACACGCACTGACAATTCGAAGCGACGCACTTGAGCGCGTCGTTCGAGGCGAGCATCATCTGGCGTTTCGAGACGCGTGTTCCCTCGTGGAATCGAAGCTTCCGCGACAAGGGTGTCTCTCCGCGTGTCTTATAAACAAATCGGCGAGACAGACGAGCAGGAGTAAGCAACGAACGCGAGGACACTCACCGCACACTTTCCGCGTTTACGACGTTCTTGCGGACACCTCCACGGTCGCCGCACCGCAGTTACGCCATTACGCACAAGCACGCACACACACTGTACTTATGCGTTGATATCAAAAACTCGTGTAAAATGTATAAAAAAGGCGATAGTTAGGAAGCTGCCAAGAGGATTGCCATGGCGATGCCAATGTCAGGCGTCCATGTTGTGCTCGTAGCATTTGCTGCTATCTGCTGGGAACTCGGACCAGAGCGACGCTCGGGAGAACTTGTGGGTCGATACGAACGTTTCGCGCGAATTCAGTTTATCATACATTCCGCCGAAAATTTTTCGCTCAGATACCTTCAAATTTTTCGCTCGGATACCTTCGAATTTTTTCATAAAACTGAAACAGTTTAAATAGAATTCCGCGTGAATTAATTGAAAAATGAAATCATCATCGATATGCCCGTGGAGTTTACCTTCAAACAGATGTTTAGAGATCTGTTATACCGACCGCTGCATGTATTCGTTAAACCGAATGAATTTGTCGGTAAAAACGTGTAAAGTCAGCGTAAACGACAGAGAGATGCAATTTCATAAAAATATTTAATATACTTGGTTGCAGATCTATATGCGTAACGATAAAACGTCAAAATAGCTGTAAATTATAAATCTGATATTTCATCACACTGAATGTCCATTTGTGTATTTATATCGGATTTTTAAAAATGGTCGATAATGTCATTTTCTTTCAATTACCTCCAGGCCCCTCGGAATCCCTTTGCCAGTTTGAAAATTTAGCCCCAGGGTTGACTGTCTTTAATAACACCTCGCTGGTGTCGACTGACATTTTCACTGACAATTCTTTTTAACGTCACTTTCTGCTTCACATGATAATCTAGAGATGGCTCGACGCGTACTTTAATCCGCTTATGACCGTTTCAAGCCATCACTAGGTGCGCTTTTATTTTGCGTAAACGCTGGCACGCGCGAGATGCTTTTGACACCTCGCCTGAAAGTTCACTCAACTAGAAAACAGATTTTCGCGTAATACCGACATCCGCGTTAATAGCCGTTCCTTTGAATTTAACGCACGTATGTAAATTAATAAGACCGCGGAGAGCGAGCACTGTAGTGGTTCATAAAAGCAGTTATTCGTCTTACATCGCCGAAGGCGGTTTAACGTCACTTCTCTTAATTACATTATAAAAATAAATGAAATAAATCAGGTAAAAGTCGGTATATTTGTAAATTTTCACGGACGTGACAGTACTTTTCGCGTCTCTGACAAGAGAAACACAGAGAACACATGAGGACTTTACTTTTAAATGGTGAAACGTTACTTTTATTGCGTGTTTGCCTTTGTTTCCCGCTTGTTCCGCCGACTTGTGCAGACCGCGTCCGACTCGCGATACACCGATCTTTTATGGGGTAGAACGCGCGCTAGAAGTTAACGCGCTGTTCGTGGAACGGCCGACGTTAGTGCGAAGGGGATGAGAAAGAGAGAAAGTAGCGAAGAGAAAGACGCGCGGGAGGAGAGACTCGCGTGTCTGCCTCCGTGACACGCGTCGGGTGTCGCGTGCAACAAATTGTGAGCATCCATGGTTGTGGGGGGAACGTGTTTCACGCTGGGAACTTTGCGTTCGTTACAGAGCGAAGAGCAGCGAGGGAGGTAGGATAAGAGAAAGAGAGAGAGAGACAGAGAGAGAGAGAGAGAGAGAGAGAGAGAGAGAGAGAGAGAGAGAGAGAGAGACCATCGCGTTAAGAGTCGTTACGCGAGTTAGGATCCGCCGCCATACGAACGCGAGTAACTCCTTTAACGAACTCCCAAACGAAGTTCGGCTTCTTACTTCTCCGATTTCAGAGTTACGACGCTCATCTAATTAATATCAAGGATTCCTCGCTCGCGCGCGCGGAGATACTTGAAACACGTGCCTTCGTTTTCACCGGCGGATGTCATCCTTTTCTCTCTTCTTTCTCCCTCCCGTTTCGTCACAATTGGGTACTCGGAAGTTTTTTCAGCCATTAGAGAAAGCAGTTGGGAGAAATCGCTAATTACGTACTTTCCAACTTGTATTTAAAACTGCTCCAAGTTGGATCGTTTTCGGTTATACGCGGTTGTACGCGCGGCACGGCCAATTAAAATTTAGCTTCGACGCGATATCATGTAATTGACGTGACTTGCCGCCACAGCCGCCGCCGTTGCAGACACAGGTGAAACATAATTTTATTGCGCGGGCGTGTCTAATAACTTATGTTCGCGCTGAACTCAGCCCCCGAAAACTTTGCGCCGGGGATATATTTTCGTTCATCGTCGTAGACGTTATAATAGGAGGAGATTGAGGTTGCCAAGGTGGAGTTTCAAACTCGCATAAATGTGTGTAGCGCGCAGCGCGCGGTCTCCTTCCACGTTTCTGATTACTTCGCAAACTTTGCGCTAGTCGGAACGATGCAACGGAAGCTTTTAGACACTTGTTTCTAGTGCGTAACGCAATCTCTATAAGCCAGGTTTTACAGAGTACGCCGAAAGAAACTGAATGCTAGCGAGATAGTTACAGG